TTATAGTATGTTCTGCTACCCAGCAAATTTTAGTTATAACCCCCTCATCCATATAAGGGTGTGATTATTACAATTAAGTCTTGCAACTATATTTGTAATAAAAGGGCCGGTCCTGATAGACGGCCCTTTTATTATTTTGCAGATAGAACATCGGTAAAATACTTTAGACCCGTTAAATTATTGGTGCATCATATATTAAAAAAAGACCATTGAGCATTTACGCTTTCTCTAAATGATTGCTGCCTCCAAGCCTACATAATGGATGTTTTCTATACGACACTACCTTATATTCACTTAGTATTTATTTAGGGACCTTAGTTACTATTCTGGGCTCTTCCCCATTCGACTATCGGCCTTAGCACCCATAGTCTGACCCTATATCTTGAATTTATAACCATTGGTTTGATTGCCTTTAGTGGGTAGAATCGTTATGATCCCCCCATTAGATATAAATCACATTAATTGGCCCTACAGGCTAAGTTAACACAATCCCAATATTACCATAAATGATAAATGGATCGCTAAAAGCAGAGCACTACTTGCTATAATTCAAATATAGATCCTACCTAAATAGGTTTCGCAGAATACCAGCTATCTCTAGGTAAGATTAGCCTTTCACTCCCTATCACGGCTCATCCAGTACTATTGCAACAGTAGTTGGTTCGGTCTTACACCTGGCCATGATAAGATCACCTAGTTTCGGGTCTTATATATAGTACTTTCCTCATAAATTTCAATAACCTAAGCTATTGTTATTTAGATCGCTTTCACTAAGTATTATTATAATTATTATCAAATTGCCCACAGGGGCCCCCCTTGGGGGAAATAATTCTATTTTTTACTCGCACTACTTATAAACTCGCTGACCCATGATGCAAAAGGTACGTCGTTATACTATTTTATTCTTTTTCGTACTTCGACTGCTTATAAGATTATTGATTCAGGTTCTATTTCACCAGTTATCTACTTACTTTTCAACATTTCCCTCACGGTACTATTCACTATCGCTCAATGATTATATTTAGCCTTAGAGGATGGTTCCCCTTATTCAGACAGATTATCTTCCATCTTACTTTTTTTATTTCATCAACTACTATTTAAGGTAGATTAATGATTTATAACTTAATTACTACGGGACTATCACCCTCTTTGGAATAAATTCACTTCCAGAAATTTAAACCCAAAACGCCTGTAAGGTGTTAGGGGAAAAATTTTTATATTTTCATAAATAAGTTATATATTTATTGCTAGTTTTTACTAGCAGGCTTATCTGTTTTCGCTCACCACTACTAGCAGAATCTCGGTTGATTTATTTTCCTCTTATTACTTAGATGTTTCAGTTCATAAGGTTGTTTATTAATTTTAGTCACTCCTTCTCTAAAAAGAAAGATTGACAAATTTTTGGTTTTCCATAGGATAACCCTAGATTTAGCTATGCTTCATATTATTAGCTAGGATATTTGGTAATTATACCTCCTTTGTAATCATTGGCTAGTCATCCTCAATTAATCTCTTTATTATCTTAAAAATTATTTTACATATCAATACTGTTATTTTAATAAAACCTGGTTTCATTAATTTTTTTTCTTTATAAACTATAATTCCTTATTACTTTACTAATTATGATCACTAAGCCGGGTACATACAAACCCTAGCCTCTTTAATTTACATATATATCACACACATAATTAATTCAAAGGCTCGCCTCAGGCAGGCTAGTATTATAGTAATATTAGGTTTTGATCTTTCTTGTCATTTTTCTTTTAAAGGATTAAGTACCCTTTAAATAAATCCGCCTAAATCATATACTTTACCACTTCGTTTGTTAAGGCAAGCTAAATATATATGATTAACGCATATCTTAAACTTTTTCTCCCAGAGGGCCCTACGGGGGGGTTATAAAATATCTTAGGATCTTTGTGTCCTAATATTTTATGTCCAAGAAATATATTTAGTATTACACTACCTAAGAGTATTTAAATCTAAACGATTAAAGTATATAATATGAGAGTTCTTATATTAATAGGTTTAAATACCGCAGGAGCCAGGTACTGCGGCCGGAGGCTAAATTTATTTATTGATTGATAGGTTAACATGAGTACTAGAAATTCAAACTTTAACCCATAAGATATTAATATATATTTTACTCCCTATTAATAACTTATTTATTTCCCCAGTGGGCCCCTGCGGGGCAAAAAATCAAAGGCCCCCCTCTGGGGTATTATGAAAACTAAGTAGTATTTCTTATCTTAAGCTAGTACCTTGCTATTTAAAATAGTTTATGTCCCCCACCCAGGGGCCCCTGGGAGAAAATTATTTTTAATAAGATCCATTTCTCTTTAAATACCTTGCCCCAGGGGTCCCTGCGGCCCACTTACACTATAATTTTATATAGTTCACCGTAGGCGCCTCCGGCGTAAACTACAATTAAAATATTTACCCCAGGGGGCCCCAGCGGGGCCATTTTATTAGCTGAAGGGAAAGTCTCAATAATACTTGATTTATCTGAAGTATATAATATATAGTTGTTACTCTAGCTATACTCATTTTAGTTCTAGTCTCAGCCCTATGAGATTTACCAAACATGTAATTATTTCCCCTTTAAATTTTGCATTAGTTACCTCAGATCATTTTTGATCTTTACGAGTTTCACTGATTCTAGCTTTACTTCCAGCAGAATGTGTACGACCTAGCATTACTCATGGATAATTCTCTTTAGCAATTCTGTACATAGGATTTTTTTCTCCTAGCATTTGAATTCTACCCGCAGGGCCCTGCGGGCTTATTAATTTTAATTCTTCTGATTCTGTATATCTTAAAGTGAACCAGCTACTTTTAATATATTATAACTTGCCCGCAGGGGCCCCTGCGGGGGGATTTAAACTATCTAGATAAAATTGTTCCGTTCAAGAATCAATTTACGAGCATCTTCTCTTGAAAGCAAAACCTCAGGCGAGCCCTTTGGATTAGTTATATTAATATACTCAAGTATAGAAACACTAAAATTGGAATAACTATGTTATAATATTGCGTTATAAATATAACTATTCCCCTCCCCCCAGGGACCCCCCTGCGGCACTATTTTTTCTTGTAGTAACAGATATTTTGTAATAATCTCTCAATCGGTTAGATAAATTAATAAAACTTCCCCCCCCCCCCCCAGGGCCCCCCTGGGGTAATATAAAATTTACCTGATTTATGAGTCCACATACATACCCCAGCTTTATCTTTATTTTCTCTTAAAATTCATGATTTATCAATAAAAGCATTCTTATAAAAGATAACCAAAGTAAAATTAATAGATTCATTATAACCCGTAGAGTTATTATTAATATTAGTATAGTAAAATCTAATCCCTTGATTAGATAAATTATTGACTTCGGCCCCTGCGGGCTTTTTAAATTTATTCCCAGGGGGCCCCTGCGGGCGAATTTTATACAAGATGGGAGTTCATAACATTTGTAGAGTATGAACGTTTTATTAGGGGAACCATATTATTACTTAAATTTCTATTATGAACAAAAGAACTGCTTGTATTGGAATTTATTGGGTTTGAAGAAATCCAGACTTTTACTGTTATTGCTCCATTTTTCCCTTTAAATTCGAATTTATTAGCATCAATCACACTATTATAAGAACTTAATCTTAAAGTACCATAAGATTTTCTTACTATTCTTGTTCTACTGGCGGCTTTTCGTTGAGATAATCTACCACTAATTTGGATTTTTAAACCCGATAAATAATAAGGTTGAGTATAATTAGAAGAATATTTAATGAAATCGCTAAATTTATAATTTTCAGGCGCAAATAATCCTGGCATATTATTTTTAACTAATCTTGCCTTTTTAAATAAATTACGTGATATCATATTAAATTTACCTCTTTTTATATTTAAAGCAATGTACTGAGCTAAAATGTAAGAATTTAAATAGGGGTAATGAATTCTTACTGGTCTTAACTCAACTGGTCTTCCGTATAATTTAGATAATTTTAATACTAATTTAGAATACCCTTTAGCTTCAACAGGTAAAATATTTCTATCGTTAGTTTTATTTCTTGTAGATGAGTTAGATTGTCTTAATATTGGTAAATTTAAAAAATAATAAAATGTTATTACAATTTTATTAGAATTTTTATAAATTCTAGGTTTTGAAATTAAGGCAAATTGAAAATAGTGTTTTATAATATTTAAAGTTATTTTATCCATACCCCAATAATTGTATATTCTACTCTTAGAGTTAAAATAATACGAGATTTCACTCCAATTTTGTTTTGTTTTTAATCTTAAACTTATAGGATGTTTACTACCCATTTTTATACCTATGTTAGCTCCCTTGGGGAGCCTATGCTCTTTAATCCTAATTTTGTCCATAAAAGATGACTCTTAGAATTCAGCTATATAAACTAAACCTAAGTAATTAATATTTATATGTAAGAATCAAACCTTTTATGAAAAAGTTTCTTTATAAATTTTTATTTTACATATAACATCTTATTAATATAAAAAATTGGCTTCAGTGGGTATAATCAGAGACCAATTCGAGGGACCGATTTATAAATCAGATAAACTTCATAACCTAAAATAAGACTTATCTAATAATAGTCTCAGGTTCAGGGTTTTACTTTATCAGCTAAAAGAAACTATTAACTAATGTTTTACCTTCATTTGAATGAAGGTAAATAGGAGTTCTCTGGTGATACTACTAGTAAAACCAAAGGCTCGCCTTGACCGGGGGGGGAACCTTTGATATTTCTTTGTTTTTTTTTAGATGAAAAAAATTTCAGATTGAGACAGGCTTTAGATATTAATAATTTTCGGCCTACAGCCCCCCCCCTGCAGAGAGAATAAGCTTTTAATACTTTGAACTTCAAATTAATTAGCCCGCAGGGCCCTTCAGGTAAAAAGATCAAAAATTAGTCCTTATATCTTTGACTAAAAGATATATTTTGAGCCTTCTTAATTAAATTTAGGTTTTATAGTTAAGTGCTTTGATATTTATTGCCAGATGTCTGAATCGAACAAACAAAAAATGATTACAAATCACTCATTTTACCTAATTAAATTAATCTGACTTTTTTATAAATTAATCTGACTTTTTTATAAATTAATCTGGCCAAAGGCTCGCCTCGGGCCGGCTGAGGCTTTGCTTTACTATAATTTAAATTTCTACATTTTACCATATATAAGGATCAAATTAATTATTAAGGTACGAATCATGTATTTAATCAGTTAAATAAATTACCCTCGGCACCACCGGGAAAGTAAAGTGGTATTGGTGGGCTTCTGCTCGCTTTGGTCAATCCAAGGACCAAAGGGCTCGAGCCAGGGGCTTTGCTTTATAAAGTAGCCAATGGGCAAAGAACTTGCCCACCAAAAATGAAGCAATAGGGTTTTAGATATGGAACCCTGTGACCTGGAATATTTTTAAACTCGAGCCTCGCACCACATGCCAGATAACTAATATTAATTATAGGCTCTATGGTCAAATGGTAAGACATTACTCCTTCACAGTAAAGTTACCGGTTCAATTCCGGTTGGAGTCACATTAGTCATAGTTGAGTTATCAGTTCAAATCCAGTTTAATAAAAAATAAATACCTTAAGTATAGGATTTACCTATTCGATATAAAAGTCTCAATCTTGTATATTTGACAAATCCTTTTGCTAAACCAGTTTATGTGTTTCACGATAAGTAATTTAGGCTTACACCCCATACGTTTTACATTGAATAATTCAAGTCTACGGCCTTTTGCAAAACGTTGCGCAAATTCACGGTTGTAAAACACACTTAATTAATCTTGGTCTTTTAGGCTCGACTCGAAAGGGAAGAGGCTTTGTTAAATATTATTGGACTAAAAGTTAATTCCTATTCCAGGAAAGTATCTTTTTTTGTGTAATAGCATACATTAAGCTTTGCCCCGCAGGGGCCCCCTGGGGGTCTTTCTTATTTAACGAATAAGGGGGGGAGGAAGATACTTCCCCAGAACCTATAATATCCATACGGGTGTGTATTATAAGACAGGGAATGTAACTTAATTGGCTAAAGTCGCAAGCTTTTATCTTGTCTTATCAGAGTTCGAGTCTCTGCATTCTCATAATATTAGGCTTGCAGAGCTTATTTTCTATATTTTTATTAATAAATCTTAAACCTGGCCAGGTCTTCTTTATATTTTAGCAGGGCCCTGCGGCTAAAGCTAAAATATAGGTGACCTGGCGTAGAAAATTAACCTAATCTTAGATAGAAGGATCTTACAACAAGTATTTAATAATTTAGCAAAGCCTTTGGCTTGGTTCGAGCCCTTTGGTCCTGGGGCAAGCCCTTTGGTCTTGGTCCCAAAACTAGCCCTTGGTCTTAATATTCAATGTCATCTATTGGTAATATAGCTTATATATGTGATATACATGTAAACTCTAAAGACACAGCTTCTTTATTACAAAGGTTTACTTAAATATTTACAGCAAACGTTGTGGGCTTGGCCCGCAGGGCCTACGGGGAAATTTTTCTTAGGATAGGGTCTAATCGTAATGGTCGACCCTTTGATTTTTTGTTATGGACTCTTGGTTTTGCCAGAGATCTTTAAGACCTTAAATTAAGTCTTAAATTTTTATCTAGTGTGGATTATTTTGGACTTTATAGCATTTATTTTAATTTATCAAGGTAAAGCCAAATAACAAGCCTTTGGCTTTGGCCCTCCTCCTTAAATTAAAGAGGCCACTACTTTGCAGATTTTTAGGGTTCACTATGTTTTGCACTAATGGTTTGTGAAGTAATAAGAGATGAAATTCTAAAGGCTAAATTTAAGGCTAGGATTTATAAATTTTAGGCCCTAAGGATAATATATTAGTTTTTATAGTCCTTTCTATGAGTGCCTATGGTAGCTGCAACCGCGGCTTTTAAGGTTATTGATTAAAACACCTTACAGGCGTTTAATCAATTCACCAATACCCTTTAAAAGCTTTAAATAAAGAATGAATAATATATTATTAGATTTATTAACATTTACTTCTGTGTTATCAGCTATATTGGTAATTAGAGCTCGATCTCCAGTAATAGCTATTTTATTCTTAATAGCTGTATTTATTAATACAGCTGGTTACCTAATTTTATTAGGTATTAATTTTATAGCATTATCTTATATAATGCTTTATATAGGAGCTATCGCTATATTATTCTTATTTGTAATCATGATGCTAAATATAAGATTAGTAGAATTAGATCAAATTGGGAATGAATATAATAAAAATATACCGTTGGGTATAATAATTGCAACTTTATTAGGTTACGAAATTTTATCAAATACTTTAACTCAATCAACTGATAGAGTTTATCTAATAACAGAATTATTTGATAAACTTAATTTCTTGACAGCGGGTATTAATTCTTCAAGTAACTATCTTAATGTTGCATTCAGCCAAGCATATTCCAATATATTTGTTAATTACGAACAAATAGAAACATTAGGATCAATTTTCTATACAAACTACTCTTTATATTTAATCTTATGTTCATTTGTGCTTTTATTAGCGATGATTGGACCTATTATTATAACATTAGATAAAAAAACATCTAACTCCCACAATCATCCCCGGAGGGGACTAATAGCTTATGCTATATAATTTCACTGAAGGCGCCTGCGGCGGAGATATACTGAGTTCTTAATAATTGGCCCCGCAGGGGGGATTATGCCCCGCAGGGGCCCCCTGGGGGTGCCTATTTTATTTATAAAGAACATAAAGGTCTGCAAAGTAATCGAGTCTTTTTAATTTACATATGTATAATTTATATAGGCAATAATTTTCCCAGGGGCCCCTGCGGGCTGCTTTATTTGTTTGTCAAGATAAACCCCTCCCCTATAGGAGCCTAATAAATAATATTTAACAATGCCTCGATTAAGGCCCAATCGGCCGTAGGCAAATTATTTTTTGCTGTAGCCTGGGCCTGCTACTTTGTTTATGAAGGGCAAAGCTCGTCATATGAAATGAGAACTTTGTTATTTTACCCACCGGGCCCTGTGGGCTGTTAAAATAAAGTAAAAATTTAAGGTTAGTTAACATAACTGGTAATGTATTGGTCTGCAAAACTAATTAAGTATGTTCAAGTCATACACTAACCTATTTAAATCCTTCCCATGAGTATTTTTTTATCACAAAACCTGTTTATAAGGCAAAGCCCTTTCTCTTTGGGACAAGCGGAAGCCCTCGATACCACTTTGCTTTAGTGCCGTAGGTTTAATAAAGTATAAATTATATTATTATCTACATATAAATACAGCCTTATACATTGGCTTAACTATTTTTGTATATATTATATACCTTATGTACGAATTATTTTTTATATAATATAATGACTAAATATATTTTTAATATTTTACCTACAATAAATTGTGATGTAGCAGAACCTTGGCAATTTTCTTTCCAAGATGGAGCTACACCTTCTTTCGATGGAATTGTAGATCTTCATGATCAAATCATGTTTTATCTAATAATGATTATTATTTTAGTAGCTTGGATGCTAAGTACAATTATTATTAAATACAACGTAGCTAAAAATCCTATACCATACAAATACTTTACTCATGGTACAGTAATAGAATTAATTTGGACAATTACTCCAGCTTTAGTATTAGTAGCTATAGCTTTCCCTAGTTTCAGATTATTATACTTAATGGATGAAGTAATTGATCCTGCTATTACAGTTAAAGCAGTAGGTTCTCAATGGTTCTGGAGTTATGAATATTCTGATTATATCTCAGATTCTGGAGAACCAATAGCATTCGATAGTTTTATGGTTCCTGAAGCTGATTTAGAAAAAGGTCAATTCAGATTATTAGAAGTTGATAACAGAGTAGTATTACCTGTAGATACTCATGTAAGATTTATTATAACTGCTTCTGATGTAATCCATTCTTTTGCTATCCCAGCATTTGGAATTAAATTAGATGCGCTTCCTGGAAGATTAAACCAAACTTCTACATTTATCAATAGAGAAGGTTTATTCTATGGACAATGTTCAGAGTTATGTGGAGTAAATCACGGGTTAAATTAAAGCCCCTTAAAGTAGGAATATTTTAATGCAAATAGGGTGAATTGCAAGGACAAGTTTATCTCATAAACTCAATTTGCAGCGAAGCGTATATCAGTGTTAGCTCCAGTAAGGCCCTGCTTTATGGAAAGATATACGAACGTCCAACGACTAATCGGTGAGCAGCACTAGCAATAAACCGGACACGAGCGCCCTACAACCAGTTATATACTAAAGAATAATTGGTTGAAGACATAGTCTAAGCCCTATCGTGAGATAGGGAAGATAGAGTTAAATGCTTTATCGATAATAATAACTGTTATGCCAATCGTAATCGAAGCTGTGACTTTAGAGAAATACTTAGCATGGTTAAACGAACACTTAGACTCCCATAGTGTTGATGGTGGATTAGCTGCTTTAGGAATGTCATCTATTATAGTTCATTATTCTAAAGATCGTAAAGAACCTATAAATTAAACAAACCTCCCCCAAGGGGCCCTGCGGGCTAGTTTTAATAAATACCTCATCATGGTTTATCATAGGTTATTGTGATACTGAGGCTTGTTTATTAAAAATGAGTAATCCTAAATATAAAGATTACACAATTTATGGTATTTTATTATGTGATATATTAATTAATATATTTAATTCCAAAGGGCTGGCCCGGGGCTTTGCTTTTTTATATTAATTTAATAATATTGTTTCAGGATGAGATGATAGACATAAATCATTTATTATTCCCCCGCAGGGCTGCCTGCAGGCTTACTTTTAATATCCATATTATAATTTAAACTAAATTATAAAATAACTTCCCCAGAGGGGGCCCTTTGGGCAAACTTTATTATTTAATTTAAAGGAATAGCAGACATATAATTAATCATACCCTGCCCAGGGCCCCTGCGGCCGACTATTAATATCAACTATAATTGTATAATAGATTCTTTAGATCTTCGTATTAAATCTTCAGGCTGTAAATAATTTTTAAAATAAAAAGTTCATTATTATGTTGTTAAAATTGTTTCGTTTTGGATAGGAAGCCGATACCCACTTA